AAACAAAGAAAAAAGAAGTGACGTTAAACTCGTTAATTAGCACTTTCTTGAGTTGGCAGAAGTCGACGATAATTTTTGTACCAAATCTTTTTAAATAGGCTATTTAATTATGTTTTTAAAATTGTGATTTAATTAAGCTCATTAAATAATTAACGCGATGTCTCGCATCACAGGAAGGCGTCACCGTGGGGTGCTAATTTGTGTTTAAGGGAAAGGGGAGGTAAGGGGGTGACGGGGTCAGAAGGTGCTCAACTATCGACATGTTTAACATTAGAACGTCACCACTGTCAATACAACTGGTTCATGTAGATTCTGTGTGGCCTACTGTTTGTACTTTAGTTGGTAATGAGATATGACAAGGGTGGAAGCGAGGATTATCTCTGGGATATCGAGATTAGGTAGAGTTAGCTCAAAGTTACGATCTGTGGAGGTAAATGGTCGTAACGTTTACACGTCAGATGAGGGGTGGGGGAGGGGGGAGGTGATGTCGTGGGGGATGGTGGTTTCTGTACACGCTTGGCTGTACTAAACAAATTCTCGAACTGTGTCAAATATATGTGTGGCGATAACATTGTATGTGTTAATATATAAGCTGTAATATACGCTGCTTTACACGCTGTTTTATATATATATATATATATATATATATATATATATATATATATATATATATATATATATATATATATATATATATTGGATACACTGGAAACGATAGGCTATTCGATGTCACTTACTGTTCAAAAGGATAGCCTTCAAAACGTCTAGAAAATTTTTCAATTATCTGAACAAAATAGATGTTCTCATTAAAATTCATATTTTAACCCCAAATAGACTTTAGAACATACTTTTTTCTTCGATGTGATATTGTTTTTCTTTTTTCTTTTTAAACATTGAATATTTTTTAAAAAATAGATAAAATACTTCACAAGGTAGTGTGTCAGTCACTCCGATTCAAACTCCTCGCTATATTTACCTGGACTTCATTGGCGTATTAGAAAAAATGTGTGTACCCAACGTAAATTTTATAAAAAATATCTCAGCGGTTGCAAATGTAAAAATAATAAACCGGGAGTGATCTCCCCTAAACTTTCTCGAATATTCTTATATAACTTGGAATATAGACATGATTTTTAATTACTTAAACTTTTAAAAATAGAATAGAATCTCATAAAAAAAATAATTGCGCACCAAGCGAACACAAAAAAAATGTGCATAATAGTGCGCAACATTATTAGTACTTTATAAATTTACATGCGTTTTTTGAGAAATCGGAAATAGCGTAAATTGGTACTTCCCGTCAACGGAAATTACTCAAAATTTTAAAGACGATAGAGAATTAGATCTTTTACTTACATGTGAAATTTCATGCATCTATCTGAAATAGTACTCAAGTTATAGGCTTTTGAAAAATTCAAAGTAGGAAAAGTACCACTTCCGGTTATCGGAAATCGCTCAAAATTTGTTACGGATCTACGATTTTGATAAAATACTTATATATGAAATTTCATCAACCTAACTGTAACGGTACTCAAGTAATCGTGTTTACACACAGACACACAGACACACAGACACACACACAGACACACAGACACACAGACATACGGACAAGATTGCAAAATTATGTTTTTCCGTATCAGTGAGGTGTAAAACGTCGAGATTTGTAAAAATCTCGGTTTTTTTTTTGCACGATTACAATACTTTCCCTATACTTCGTATATACGAGAAAGTAAAAATAGGTACATCAATGATACATCGCTGAACCAATGCTAAAAATACTTTATCAGTCGAGTAAGGCGAAAAACCCTCCTCGAGTTTTCGATAAAAGGCAGATAATCGAAGTTTTGCCAAAAAAATCGTCTAGAAGCAATAGATTAATTTTATTTGATTAACAATTACGTAAACCCGATACTTTACAGTAAAAATATTTTGAATACAATAGACATTTAAAGCAATGAAATAATTGAAATAACTAATTTATTTTTTAAGTTTCATCACTTAGAATGTTAATGTAATTTCATCATTTAATTTATAAAATATTTTTTATATCATCTAAAACCACAAATTATTAAAATTTGAAATCGGACCCGTAAAATATAAAAAAGAATGTTACATTATGGACCCAACCCCCACCCCACCCTACCCTAAATAACGCTACATAAAATTTCTCTTGGTTACTTGGTTAACCATTTCTAAAAACCGACCCCCCCCCCTTCCCCCACATCATCTCATTGGCCAATGTGTTATTCGAGCTCTATACGATCGCATTACTTTATATACTTTTATATTACAGGCCGTACTTGATAGTATGTGCAACTTAAATAAGTTGTAAAACTAAAATAAATTACGAAAACTTAATATCATCTAATTAACTAATCATCTAGTACGTAACAGCGATCCCTTACCTGATTACTAAAACCATTACTGCTAATTAAACTCTAGTTAATTTTTCTTTCACTCCCTAACACCACTAAATCACGTGCAGCCATAATGTACTCACCTAATCTTCCACTGTTCACTACAAATCTGCCGGTGTCAAGTTTTGCGTCACTATTTTTGTTCCTATCAAACTCAAGCACTTGGTAGTTCCCTCACAATCACTTGCCACAGCCATACATCGTAGTGGTACACGACATCCAATCAAGCAATCCGCTGTCAATGGCAACCAACTTCTTCCTATACCTACAACGTTTAAGTAGACCGCTTTATAAAAATTGTTTTTGAGGCTTGATTATTTATTTAAAAAATTTAAAGAATGTGATGTTTGTTGAGTTAATCTAATAAAGTTTGAGTAGTTTCTGGAAATGTTAAACTTAATCTAAACTCGTCTGAAGCTTGGCGGGTCTACTGCAGAGGGAACGACGCGGAGAGCAGTGATGAGCTGTGTTTTCATGCGCTGGAGCCTCCCTTCCCCCTCGTGATGAGGGATTAGCCAATCAACGCGTCGCGATACTGTTGCCGCGCGTCGCGGTAGCAACGTCAGCCATTGTTTTTTGTAATTTTTTTCAATGAGGAAAGAATGGAGGGGGGGGGGGAGTAAATGTGGATGGGGGTGAACCGTGGGGGCGCTAGTGATGGGATGTGGGGGCGTATAATGCAAGTATACACTAGTCAGCTGACGCTGGCGATATTTATATAGCGAAGCAATAATTGGCTTAAAGACATAATTGGTAATGACATTGACCCGCAGATGAGACGGGTCATTAAGTCTAAAATTGATTTCATTGAAAATTCCTTAGTCAGGAAGTGGGGGTGGCGTGTATGAACAGTGTGGTGGAAGGGGGGGGGGGGTAAATAAGAGGATGCGGGCTTAAGGCAGCCTAAGTAAGCAAAAAAGTACGTGATGTTCATTTTCTATAGGGCTGGTAAGTAGGTCACCAACCAGTTCTACGGTTCAATAAAACCTGCGTGAGCCATAGAACTGTTTATTGACCTACTTACCAGCCCTATACTCGTGACCCACGTGGCAGGTGAAGTAGAGTACACATGTTTCTGTGACCTCGGATAGTTTAGTAAGCACTACAACCTTGATAACCTGTTCAAATCATTACTTTAGAAAAAAATTGTGTTTTTATTGTAAATTGTTCAATAAACTGTAACGCTATACCTAAATCAAGATCAAAACCATTAGGGTAGTTAAAGCAGCTGGTTTATTTATAACTGTATTGACGTAGGAAAAACAGTCCAAAGTGAAACTGTCTATGTGGTAGTTTACGCAGGAGCATCACCTCACTAAGTGACACCATTTAAGAAGGGGAGAGATGACACCAAAACAAACAGATCTAACACTTTAGTAAAATATGCTGTTTTTTTCGCTGATAATTATTTTTAAATTATTAAGGTAATAAACATCTTTGAGCATATGTGGGACACCATCATGAATTCCCGGGGGTGGGGGTGACACCAATATCACCTATGTAAAACTTATGTAACAGACTGTACTTTTGGTATTGCTTATTTATATTGTATTTAGCATGAACTTGTATGAAAGTAGAGTACCTGGCCAACGGAAAGACTGTGTGAGCGACTAATCATGTTTTCCATGCTTTTTGTTATATCGCTCACTGACATTAGGGGAGAGAATGAAGGGAATAAAAGGGGAGAGTAGGTGGACAAGGGGTGCCTGTATAGGAGAATGTAAGACGTCAGCATGTCACTATGTTTCTGGATTGTACTTGGATTATTTTTATCCTAATATGGATTTATTATCATTATTCCTTATGGATCTATCTTATTAACGTAAATAAAGTTGGAAAATGAAATAACTGTTCATCGTCTCTATTGAAGAAAGAACTCACAATAACAACGTATTGTCTCATCGGCAAATACAATTTGTTACAACTTACAAACATTATTGTGGGGGGATGTGTAACCTTCCGTTACTTAGAGTCTCCCAAAGTTTGGCAAAGTTGACAAATTTATTTACTGTTTGACACTTTTAACGCATTTAAGAGTTGAAAGGAAGCATATATCCCAAAAAGTTGTCAGACAGATAAGATTAGGCGATTAAGCAAATGTACTGAGCTTAGACCCTCGATTAGAAGAAGCTCGTTAGCCGGGAAGAGCAACACAACTAGAAAAAAAACAACTCCAAAAACAACGTTTGCCTTGTAGTTAGTTCTTGGTTGAACAAAGGCTATGGGAGCACACTTAGAAAAGCAGGCTGAAAATGGAGTCAAGAGGATATGGCGCATAAGAATTGGACATGCGCCTCCAATATTACAACAAGCAAGATTTTTAAAAAGAATTTAAAAAATTGTAAAAATAACGACATTATGGTGCTTGTACACATAAAAGAAGCCGCATTACACCGAGTAAAGATGGCGGCATAAATACGGATACCAAAACACATTTTTTTTTTAGTTTTATAAATTTTGAGTGGATGCTGTCCCCTGTAGTAAAATTATTCAGTTAAACATATACACAGTTTTTGAAGATTTGCATCTTACTTTTTTTTAAGCATACTGCGCCGCATTTAACGACATGTCTTCAATATAATAGTGTACATTCTTGTCGTGTCTTTTCATCAACCTCGCCTTTATATCCGAGTTTAGATCATATCTATGACACAACAGACGTTCTAATTTTTTCTAATCCCGCGTCAAATATCATAGCAGGTGGCACGCCGGCCCCACGACGCCGCGGGCGCCCGGCAGAGCCGGCACTAAATGAGCCACGGCCACCGTTAGCCGGCACACAAATGAGCAGCGGCCGGTTCCAGAAATGTCACCCGCAACAATTAGTCCGGCAAATGCCCAGAGGGCAGAAGCCTGGTACCTTTTTCTTTCCTTCTGGAAATAGAAGATATTTGTTGTGCTTCTGACCACGCCCACCCCCTCCCTTTATTAGAGGATCTTGTGGTGGAGGCTTTTGAGGCGCGCAGTTCTAGGACTCCGTGCAGTTGTTTCCCTTGCTGTGTTGGAGACACAAATTTAAACACGTTTTAACAATCAGTGTTGAATGGTCAGGTTCTTTTAATAAACACAGGGAGGATACCAAGGCAAAATTATTTTTCGTAAAGATTTATTAGCTTAAAAAATCGCACTTTTTAAAAAAAATAGCTTTATAAGTTCAAGACAAGAATTATTACTTTATTGTAGAATTCATGTTGCGGGGAAGTATTTGAGCATGTGAAGCCACAAAGTATTAAAGGACTGTGGCTTCACTTCTCCAAAGGACTCTGTTTTGGCCGATTTTGTTCAATAAGGCCTTTGAAAACAAAGTGCATACAGTCTTTGTAAGAGGTTAATAGCTTTATGCCGGTTAATCAGGCAATTCTAAATACCTCGATTTTCGTTCGAATCTTGTAATATCAATATCACCAACAATTCGTTAAACGAATTTGAGTATACATCTCTACACACACATACACACACACACATACACACACTCACATACACACACACACAAACACACAAGCACACACACTCACAAATAGTTTCCTTTAAAATTTTCAATACTTTACTGATTTTAAGGACAACGTTTTGGTCCCTAATTTTGTCACTGACTAAATGTTAATTCCAGCTATTATTATGTGGTTGGGAAAAAAACATGATATATACCGTTGGAATACTTCAACTACCTTATATAGTAATATCGTGGGTCTTTGATCAGATATAATGGAATGTTCCAACCATTCGAATATCTTTTTGCAGTAAGAACAATCTTATACGCTTTTACCAGAAACTATGGGATATGCCAACACCTACAAATGGTGTGGCAAAGAAACAATCGAAGTTCCCAAATGATGGTATTTGTACCGGATCAAATGGGATCCGATACAACGTCCGCTAGTGTGTTTCTCCCCCATCCCTCCCGCCCCCACCCCCAAATAATAAAACGAACTCCAGGTCTGAACAAAGTAGCTTTGTTGTCCTGTAGATAACCCTGGGTGTACACCCTAGGGTCGGGGTAAATCTTGTAAAGTCTGGGTCAGGCTTACAAGGTTTTAGAGAAACTTTTAGGTGACTCAAACAAACGCACTGTTCGGACCATGTTCAAATATATATATGACGTTAGTAGATTATATTTGTTAGAAACAGGTAAACCAACCCAGTTTCTAGACATATTTCAAGTATAACATATCTAAACTGGTTGTAGTTTTTAGACTTATCACAAGTAAAAAATAAAAAATGGTAGTAGTTTTTAGACCTATCAACATTTAAATGGCACTTGTTTTTACTACTATAACAGATATAAAATAACTAAACTAGCATTGATTTTTAGACTTATCACGCGTATAAAATAATTGAAAGAGCACTGTTTTTTTAGACTTATTCAATACTGGATTCGAGCTCGGGGCTTTCAAGCCAGTATTCACTCTACCCCCCCCCCCTCTTTCTATCACACCACCCCATATGCTATTTGAGTTACGCAACAAAAAACAATCCTCTTCAAATGCAAATAATTTAACAGCATTCTCTACCCATAAGCAACACTTCCCACCAATAAATTATTGCATGCTGACGTTTTACTCACACACAAAAATCATACGTCAGCGGTTTCTGCGTACAAATTTGATTAGCTTCCTGTCGCCCAATGAAATGCCTTGTCTTTGATGCCATCAATCTATGTCGTCTGAACGCCTTATCCGTGCAGCCTTCAAGTCCATCTCTCACTGAGAAAAGTTGTCACGAACCGACAATTTATATACGATTTCTCCACTCTAAAAATCGATTTTTTCCCCGAATATACAAGTATACATTCAGAACAATATTTGTATCGAATAATTCAACTTTTTACGACCCCCATCAACAGAAAACAGACCCACCCTTATTATAATCCCATCCATGATATAAATACCCGTATAATAGTTCGAGGACTAATAAAAAAATTAAAGCATATTGTTATCGGGGTAAGTAATTGTAGCAAAATTTGACGTCTGAGCGTTTGTCAATATGTCACGGTAACAACGACATGCGCCCTCAAGCGAAACGATTTGTGTTCTGTTGTTGTGTGCGATACGGTTGGCTCAATGTTGTGTGACATACTGTTGGCTCAACGTTGTGAGCCATACATTTGGCTCAACGTTGTGAGTCATACAGTTGGCTCAACGTTGTGAGCCATACTGTTGGCTCGGCTTAATGTCGTGAGCCATACTAGTGGCTCCACGCTCAGAGTTATCTTTTGTTATGTTTACCCTCGTTCTGTTAGCGACGGAGTGGGCAAACGATAGATATTTATGTTTCTCTTCTGAAATTAATTAAAACCATACCCTACAAATGAATACAAATGTTTACTTCAAAACACCGAACAACCCCTTACTATCTTAACTCTATAATGACCCGTGTTTTATACATTGCATGAATATATATGTGGACACCAACTCACCGCCGCTACAACGAGTGATCGTTACTACTTAAAGGTTATCTCCCCTTTTGATATTGAA